TGCTGCTACCACTACCACTACCGCTACCACTACCACTACCACTACCACTACCACTACCACTAGTACTACTACTACTACTACTACTACTACTACTACTACTACTACTACTAGTATTACTACTAGTACTACTACTACTAGTACTACTACTACTAGTACAACTACTAGTACTACTACTAGTACTACTACTACTACTAGTACTACTAGTACTACTGATACTACCAGTACTACTAGTACTACTGGTACTACTACTACTAATATTAGTACTACTACTACTACTACTACTACTACTCCTCCTCCTCCTCCTGCTGCTGCTGCTGCTGCTGCTGCTACAACAACAACTGCTACTACTACACTACTACCACTACCTCAAACATGTCGCGCGAAAGTGAGTGCGAAAGTCCCGCGAAAGGAAAGCAATAATCCGCGAAAAAACATGTCCAGAAACAGGCATATTGATCAACGCTCAAATGAAGGGCTTGAGTTGCAGTCTCGCTTGCAGTATCAGTACCGGTTTGCAGGCATTGGGTGCTCTACCTCGGCCCAACGTGGCTTTGGTGGCTTCAGACCTGAATGAGTCAAAGCGAAAAGGCCGAATTCGGTTTGAACCACGGCCTGCTGAGCTCTGCATCCCCTGCAGTTGTTTGACCTCGCCCCCATCGTCTTTTATGGCATCCAGACATATAGAGCAAGCACACCAGAGTGCGGCGAGCACGGGACTGGTCAGAATTAATCTTTCTTCCCGCAAACAACGTTAGTTGTGAAGTCGTTTGGTCAAGGGGTGCATCGCAGCAATCGCCAGGCGCGCAGAAGACAGCTTGCTTTACTGACTCGCCGCTCTTGTCCTCAAAAGCGCAGCGCAGCCATAGCGCCAGGACAGCATTGCAACAAGGCCGCTCTCCGGGTACATGTGAGCTTCAAGACTTTGCTGCAAGCGCAATCTACATGACGACCGGTGTGGCATGCAGCCTCCTTAGCATAGCACGGCGTCGATGCCTCGGGAGTTCACACAAACCACACTGACCATATGAATCACCAGCGCTGATAACTTTGCATTGGATTGATAACTCTTCATCATGCAGAGAGTAGGCATGCTATTGCCAGCGCGGTGCCTGGCACAAACAACATGGAATCACTTCTACCACTTCCACATTTTACTCGACGACCGTCTCTGCCATGGGAGAAGTCGTGCAGCAGGTCATTGGGTGGCGAAGCTGCAGCAAGACACCGCTTATCCACGGCAGGGCAGAGTTTGCAGCGTAGCACACTGCGTGCTTCTGTAGTGCCAAAGTAGAGCGCGACAAGTTGGTCCTTTGTCACTTCAGTCTCAGCCGCAGATGCAGAACTCTGGTGTGCTTCGAGTCGAACTTCGAGTCTTCGGGTCGTGATCAGTTGATACGGATGACGAGCTGATGGTGAATGAATAGCCACATTCGGGGTCGTGGTGTGCTGATGCACTGCTGCACAGCAGAAACACATAAAATCAAGGGCAGGTTGGTGGTGCAAACAGTTTCGTCCAGCACAGTATCGATCGCGAGTTGCGGTTCAGCTGATTTGAGGGAACTCTGCCCGACATCCCCAGCACATCCAAGCACACCAAGACGCTTAAATCGTCACTATGTTGCTGGCGACCTGAATCGACTAGACCACAGGCCATGAACCGTCTTGGTGGCTTACATTGTCATTAGTGTGACGGCTGAAGGCATATCCGCGGCTTGCACCATGACTTTTCCAAGACGCAGGAGCATAGCACTTGGCCCATGCCTCAGCAACATTTCCTGCAGAAGAGCCCTGCGCTAAGGCTTTCATCATTGAAATCTGTCTTGAAGCACTCTGCCTGTCGGCTGGTAGCACACGCAGGCATCCGAAGCCTTGTTTGAACAATCGAGCAGAACATGAGCCACAGCCCTGTGCCGTGTTTTTGCATGCACAAGTGGTGGAGAATCTTTTTTGCGCCTTCCGGATCTGTTTCGTACAGACAAGGTCTTGGTCAGACGTTCGTGACAATCATAAATTTAGAGACACTCGTTTCTGCCGTGCCTGAAGGCTGCAGCAATTCCAGCAAACTCCTCAGGTCGGCAGCTTGTTTATTGGCACAGTTTAGGATGGATAGCGTCTTAGTTTTCCCTGACTGCCTCAAGTCTCCGTGCGATTGTAGTCTTAGAAAGCTTAAGCCAGCCACTTTAAGGACATCTAAACTTCAAACTCGGTCTCAAATTGGCCTGTCAGCCAGAGAACCTCATAGCGTACTTTTCGACGACCTTGAGTAACACTGCGATCCTTGATGCGGACTGTTGTGGGTGGCGCGTGGTCCATGTTCCAAAGAAACGTTACAGAGTGCTTCGGCCCCCTCAGCCAAGTAAGGATATGATTCGATTCAACCGACACCTGGAAATCAGCTGTCGGGTCGCTGCGCAGATTCATTTCCAGATCAACCATCATGGCTGTCCACTTTATTTCAGGAACTCGGAACCTATGGCAAGACGGTATCCAATCCAGATCCTGCGGGAACTTGTAGCCGCAGCTTCTCTTTCCCCTCCAGGCCATGCAGTCCCTAAGGTCCTGAGCTACGAACAAGTCTGTGCACTCAAGAGTGAAGTCTTGCATGTGGCAGGCGTGGTTAGTCGTGCCGGCATCCCAGCTTATGCAAGTCTTTAGAACTCCTGACAGCAGACGAATTAAGACGCGAAGTCGCAACTGGACACCGGCACGAAGTTCTAAGTGTCACCTGTCAGTCGAGTCGGGCTGAAGTCGCAACATGTCTTCGATCTATATTGATGCAGGACAGAGCGAAAGTCAATTGGTTAAGCGGCACAGAGCACGAACTTTTGCCGGCTGTGTGCAGCAGCACCTACAAGAAAGTAAGACTGAAGATGATGGTCGCGACAGGCTTGCCACAGTTGAAATGGGTCGTGTTCCCATGTCCAGTTGAATACCACTGTTGTTGCTAGTCGCAGGTCCTTGTTATGTTGTAGAGAATTTGCTGTGAGCAAGCATTAACCTTTAACCCATCAGTCTGTTCCGTTGGCTTTGTTCTATAAGGGGCTAGAGGTTTCAAGCCGTTCGTAGTGCCAACCCTCTTGTTTAATGGATGACAAGTTTCACAGCTCATTTTTTGAACGGTGTTTATGTTGTGGGGCTCCGACAGGCACCAAGCCCTTAAACCGATTGGCTGAATGGCTTGTTGCTTTAATGGCTGGAGGCTGGAGGCTTTAACGATCAAGCTCTGCAGCGTCATCAATTTGCACCGTGTAGGTGACATAAGAAATTTGCAAGAGCATCAATTATGGTCGCAGGTCATCAGCAACCGAGTTTGCAGGGTTGAACGGTCGAGCTGCATGATGCATATATCCATTGTTGTTCCTAGACATTGCTTGTCTTGTAGTGGCGTCTACAAAGAGGCTTCGTCGGGTTGGTGGCGCTTGCGGGGCTCGCACAGGGAGTAATTTTCAGTTGAGGTGGTATGGAACACAAGATGACAACCGGAATTGTGTTTGATTGCAAGAAACTGCTGGAAGAAAGCTTTGGGGTGATATAGGTACATGCATGCATACCTACGTACATACTGCCGTGTATACCGAAACATATTCCATATCCAGGACTCAATAAAGAGCCAAAATATGGGTACCCTAGTAAGCTGAACTGAACCAACGAATTTTCGCAGGACTAAGACAGCATGAGGGCATCCTCGTTGCTTTGGCTACTACTCGTGCAAGCAGGTGAAGGTTTCGCTGATCGTTACAAGGTTTTCAGCAAAATCTTACAGAAGGGGACGCCGTGGACGCTTGTTTGTTCTTTGCGGGTTGTGCTCCCAGGAGGGCCCATTTAAAACAGATTAAAGTTTTGAATACGGGCGCGCAGCCCTTTGCGCCCCCAGATTTAAACGTTACACCAAAGTTCAATGTTCAAATCCGGGCGGCCCGGATCCAAGATGGATCCAAGAAACTTTTTCTGCAATCTTGGATCTTGGATCCGGGGGGGCCCAGATTTAAATATTTAGAAAGTTAAATATTTAAACACGAGCACGCGGCCCTTGGAACGTATCCAAGATTTGTTCTGCAAGGTTGGATCTTGTATCCAAGGGGTTGCAGGGTTAAGTAACAGAAGACTTTAACATGTTGATATTGTGTTTGTCTGGCACATTGTGAAAAAAAACCAATGGAATTCCACGTCGCCACATGTGCCGAAACCACGGCCCGAGAGCCCTGCAAATGTGGAATTGCATGGGGCTTTCCATAGTTCCTTGTCTGTTGATCTTAATGCTGCAAAGCTCAGATAATAGGGCTCTCAAAGTTAATATACTATGGTCTACTCTACCATACCAAAATAGATTGGTGCCTTTGCTGTACTCTAGTACACTTAAAAATTTTACACCATGCGAAACTATGCAACAATGTAGTCCCCTAGTCCCCTACACTATACTGAGTTGGTGCTCGACTAGGCTAGTAAGTTATGCAACAGTACACCAAGCCCCGTTGTATTGTACTGTATTACACTATATTAGACTGTATTGTACAAGAGTCGACACTGTGCTGTACAATACTTGATAACAGTCATCTATGCCCGAGAGTACTGTATTGTATTGTCTTGTAATGAACGGTGTAACATTATGCTTTGCTATACTAAGCTGCATTACGCTGTACCAGATTATGGAGTCAATACTTATCTTCAAGACATGTCTTAACACTAAAGTAAACTATGCTATACTGCGCTCTAGTAGCCTCTGTTATAATATATACTTTAATACAGCATGCGATAGCCAATACAAGAAAATGAAGAGCCCTTCGATTAGTCTACTGTAAGAAGATTAGTCTGATGGGAATTCGAACTTATGATTTTTCATCGTGTGCTTAAACAACAAGTGTGCACGACCAATGAAAGCACAGCGACACTGGTGTCACGAATACTGGGCCCCAATGCGTACCTTCGATTTTCCCTGCTAGTTTGGCACCGAGAGCACTGCGAGCAAATACCCTTGTGGTGTCGACCCCGAGCCTTGCAAGTGGATAGGGCGTGCGCATGATAACCGATTATCCGGTTCATACATGTACAGCGCCCTTTCTAATGACCTATGCTCGTGCCTTATGTAATGAACTCGAATACACGGCACAATAGCACACTAGACTCTAGACTAGAATGAAGTAAGGTAAAGTGCTGGTGCACTTTTCCTTATTATATCACGCAATACTGTACCCGTTTCCTAAAGTAATACGCTTGGTCATGCAACAGTGTGTTCTCCTACATCATGTTGCGGTAGTGCTATACTAGAGTATCGTATACTACATAGTATATGCTAGACTACAATATAGTCTAGTGAAAAACCTAGACCTTTGCTATGGTGTAACTTGCTCCACTATACCGTGCTGTATCATGTCACAATGTACTGTAATTTACTGGACTAGATTATAAGTCTAATCAACACCTTCCACCTTCAATATGCAGTGTTGATATTCAAGTACTCTGTATGACCTCAGACTGCTATACTCTATATTTGGAATTGTACTAAAGTGTACGGCATGGTTCTATATCATACTATACTACACTTGTATGATGAACCAGTGTATACTTCAAAA